TACACAACACTTTGTACAAAATCAATTTAGTGTTAACTGATCATAACAAACACTAAACTTATGCAACCAAAAGTTGCAACATATAAGATTTAAAACACAAAAAACAAAGCATAACTAGCTTTAAGCATTAACCTTTAATTTAACCTTTAAGCATGCAATGTAATTGTGAGAGAAAATGGAGGATTTACTTGCAGTTACCTTTGCACCGATGAGCATGCCGTACTTGCTGTTTGTAACTGCTGTGATCAGCTGCTCATGAGGTCGGCCGCAGGGCTTTATCCATATTTTACATTTTTCCAGACTCAGTTTAGATTTTGGAAATGGAATAAACTGTATTCCACCTTCTACTGTACAACTAAACTGCTGAGGGGGCCACCGTTACTGAAAGGCAGCAGCTCAGGGGTCAGATATCCAGCAATTAAAGTCATTATGTAAATAAACCAAATATTACAATGATCTGTTACCTTTATAGAAATAATTGCAAACATAAAGAGTAGAACAGCAGTGGTGAGGAAACGTGATCAGTTTGTCCCCCAGCACACTTAGCCTAAAGCAACTAATAAGTAAGCTATAGGAAACCCAAGCCAACCCAAACTATTTTTAAATAAGCAAACAAATAATTGAGGGAAGAGTGCATAAATTAAAAAGAAAGCCATCAGCTACATATTTGGAATATGCTCAAACCCACAATCAGTCTAAGTTGCAGGAGTAATAATTCCATTCAATTCAATTTATTTATAAAGTGCAAATTCACAACAAAGCTATCTCAAGGCACTTTACAGGAACATTCACATACAGTGTACAAAAAGCCAACTAGTAAAGTTCTCTATCTAAGGAAGCCAGCAGACTCGTTGAATCTTCAATTCATCACAGTCTGCCATCCTGAGCAAGCACAATGGCAACTGTGGAAAGGAAAAACTCCCTTTTAAAAAGAAGAAGTCTCCAGAAGAACCAGGACCAGGACAAGGGGCCATCTGCTTCGACCGGCTGGTTTGAGAGGAACAGGAAGGAGAAACAAACAAACACAGAATGATAGGTCCAGGTGTAGGTCCAGGTGTAGGTCCAGGTGTACGAGAAAGACAAAAAACACATGTTACGGTTAGAAAAAAAAAATTATAAATACAAAACAGGTTGAGCAGAGTATAAGTAAAAACAGCAGCCGAGTGAAAAACTGTAGTCAGTTTGTCCTACGGCAGTCTAAGCCTATAGCAGCATAATTAAGGGATAGCACAGGAAACCCAAGCCAACCCTACCTATAGGATTTATAGAAAAGGAAAGTCTTAAGCCCAGTCTTCAAACTGGACAATGTGTCAGCCTCACGGACAGAAATTGGAAGTTGGTTCCACAAGAGAGGAGCCTGATAACTGAAAGATCTTCCTCCCATTCTGCTTTTAGAAACTCTAGGAACTACAAGTAAATCTGAGAGCAAAGTGCTCTCTTAGGAAAAAATGGAACAACAAGATTTGTAATACAAGATGGAGTCAAATTGTTGCGAGCTTTGTAGGTTCGAAGTAAGATTTTGAATTCTATTCTGAATTTGACAGGGAGCCAATGTGATATAAAGAGATATGAACTCTCCCACTAACTCCAGTTAAGACTCTGGCAGCAGCATTTTGGATTAACTGAAGATTTTTTAAAGAAGTATTTGGACACCCAGATAACAAACTATTGCAATAGTCCGGTTTAGACATAACAAATGCATGAACCAGTTGTTTTTTTTTTGCATCATATTTAGATAAGATGTTTCTAATTTTAACGTTATTACGCAGGTAAGGCGGTTCTAGTAACGTTTTTAATGTGTAGTAAATGTTTATAATGAGATGATAAATTAGCTGTAACTATCGATCTACAGGGGTGTTATTGTTGTTTTGGTCTAATGGACACAGACAGAAGGCTTCTACCAACAAAACAACAACAAAAACAAAACAAAACAAAAAAAACAGTACAATTCCTGCAGAGAAGCTTTTCTTATCTTAAGTGAGACTGCCATCTAGTGGCGACATTTAATCACTACAACTCAGGCAAAAGAACAAGGACTTGATGCTCTGGCTATTCATTTCTCTCTTTTCTTATTTATTTATTTTTTTTCTTATGTCAACCAGCAATATTCACAAGCATTTAAAATTCATGGTGCATGTGATTCAGTTATTAAGTTACTGACTTGTGTTGAAAGTTTCTGTAGGATGCTGGTAATAAGAATCAGATGTTGTTTTTTTGTTTTGTTTTTTGTTTGTTGTTGTTTTTCGTGCATCTCCAACACGTGAGGGTCTGCGATATATATATATATAAAACTCAGTTCAATATAATTTAATAATTTATATTAATAATAACCCTGTTCAATATAAAATTATGCTTCAGATAAAACGCACTTTATTGTCAGAAACTAACGCTGCCAGCTATACTGTTTCAAAATTGTCATAGATTTTTTTTTTTATTATTAAAAAAAAGTTTTTATTTAGTGTAACCCCAGAATTCAGACTCGTCTCAGACAAAAAGAAGCACGTTTTTCTGCGTCAGGACGCTAAAATTGATACAAAAGCTGTTTTTTATTCTCTCTCTCTTTAATGCGTGCAGATTATTTTAATCTTTATTTAAATTGAACTAATCAGAGCTCGTCGTCCTCATCAGCCTCCAGTTAAATCCAGAGCTGCAGCACATCGGGCGGTAATAAACAGCAGCATCTTCATATCAAAGAACTGTTTAATTTTCCACTCAGTAAAATTAAATCGCTCATCTGATGAACTGCTCTCTGCTGGAAATTAGAAATTACTTTTTCTTCTTCTCCTCCGGTTATGGACCGTCTTTAATCAGGAAATCTCTTAGGTCGCCTAAAATATTGTTTTTATTTGTGTCTAATTAGATTTTCCTGTGAAATTGTTTCGTTCTAATTATTTTATGATTATTATATTGTTTTTTTTACATTCAAATGCAGCTTGAACTGTAACTAGGCTTCTGAGAAATCAAACCTCTCATTTGTAAATAATTTGGAATAGATTAAAAATAATAAAACAGGCGAGAGAGAGCACGCATATGTAAAATCCTCTTTAGTGTTTGGATTTAAACGCACCTTTTTTTTAATTGTCTAGCCTGGATTTCTGTCTCTGAGTCATGTTCAATTGGAGTAACTTTCCTCTGACTCAACATTACACTTTCAGGGCTTCTGAGAACTTGAACGAGGGAAGCAGCAAGTTTATTACCAAGGACAATAGACGGAGAAGAGCTTCCTTAAGCCCCCCCCCCCCCCCCCCCCCCTCACTTTGGCTCCTGACGCCCTAAACCTGCAGACCGAAGGGCACTAAAACCTCCTGTTTGTGGCATCTGCTTTTATGACGAATGTCCGCAGCTTTTCAGCTCAAGTTTGGGCAAAACAACATTTAAAGACAAATAAAAAGCTTAGTTTGATCTGTTTAGTATAAGAGAAAGTATGAACCAGTGTCTGCATGCTGAGAGATACATGTTGGTCTGTTTAAAGACACACTTTTGGATAAATTATTCATTTTGCTACTTAATGTTTTTTTTTCTTTTTGGTTTTTGGAATTGATGGATGTTTTATCTTAAAGATCACTGGAACATATTTCTTTGAATTCGCTATTTATTCTAAATCATATTTTCTTGATTAAAAATAAAAGCACAAACTGCTTTCAAAAGATGTGTTTTATTTGTTTGGAGAATAGAGAAATATTCTAGAAATATAACAAAACGTATTATTTCAAGTTCAGTCACGGATCTTTTTAAACTCCATATCGAATGTTTGAGCAGTGGGTTTATTATGAAGAAAACATTGATAACTTGTGAAATAATCCTTTAGTTCAGGACTTTTCTTTAATATAAAACATAAAAAGCTGCTCTCAGACTGTTACTTGAACTGAATCGGATCATGTTCTGTTTAAACGGAGAAATTAACATTTAAAATTGTTGTGTGGGTTAAATGTCTCCATGTCCAAATCAGAAGAGAAAACAGGAACTGTTCTTGCTAAAATTGTTTTATTTTGCACCAATTCAAAAAGCACACCCAAATCCATGCTTTGACAATTGTAAAATTAATGATAAAACATTTTAGTTTTTGTAGTAAAGGATCCCGCGCGCGTTGGGGAGAAAACACGAAAAAAAAAAAAAAAGGTATTTTATTTACAGAGTGCCTCCTCTTTATTAGTCAATAGTTGAAGTGCAGGGAAAAAGCAAAAAGGTTGAAGTTGTTGGAGAGGTTTGGTGCATTTATTGATAGAAAAAAAAAATGTATTTTACACATTTTCACATGTATGTGGTGCTGAAAAGGCAAACGCGTCATTTTCTCTCCAAACACGAATGGGATTTGGAGCGCACGCACCATTTTAGCCTCCAAGACTCACCCGATAACGAGCTTTTTATACCCTTTACCCTCCTCCTGCGAGACAATTCAACATCAAGAACATGAGAAATAAGTTTACATTCACAGAAATTACATTATTCAGCATAATAATAACCAAATATTACAGCAGTTTGTGAATCTGTGCGGGAAAATGAACATAAAGAAGCGCCACATGATGATTTATTAGAAAGATCCATCCATCCATCCATTTATCCATCCATTCATCCATCCATTCATCCATCCATTCATCTATCCATCCATCCATTTATCCATCCATTCATCCATCCATCCATCCAAACAGTGCTCGGTGAATTTGGGCCTCGCAGTTCCACGTTAGTCCCACTCCTTGATCTTCAGGTGCCAAAATAAAACCTTTAATCAAAAACTAAAAACCTGCAACCTTAACAGTATTGTGTGTTTGTGCCTGCGTGTTTTCATTTTATTTTTTCAATTTTAGGATTCATTCAGTCGTTTTATTTCCACACATTTAGTATCAAGTCTCGGGTTTTGCTTTGCAGCGTTGGGAACAAGGGTGGGGCTGAAAACACAGTATGCATGCCACGTGACCCCGCATTAACAAATCAACAATTACCTTCCCTTTATTCTCCAGGAGTTGCTAAAGAGCCTGGAAGACGTGGTCGAGGGCAGCTCCATGGAAATGTGTGAGCGGAATCCTTTAAATCCCGGTTATGTCGGATCCCTGTTGAACTTCGCTCCCCCCGACTCGCTGTACTTGTCCAACCTGCGCGGCAATGGAGCCCACATGCCCGGGCTGCACCAGCTCCCGTACGGCCGGAGAGACGTGTGCGCGCACCCGTGGACTCCCTCAAGTTCGTGTGGACCTGCACCACCTCCAGCTCAGGCCCGCGCCTTCGGCGGTTTCTGCCCCCCGTTTGTGTCCGGCGGCCACGTCAAGGCGCATCTGGAGGCGCAGCAGGAAGAGGCTCGCTGCTTCCAGGAGACAAGCCGGAAGACAGAGGAGTCCTGCGGGCCGGATGGGGCTTACGCCTCAGAGCACGGGCTCCGAGCTTACTCTGAGCTGGACGGCTCTGTGACGCAACTCGGTCCAGAGTCAGCAGCTCCACTGAACAGCACCAAACAGGAGCCAGACCCCACAGAGACCGCATCAACTGAGGCGTGCTGCAGGACGACTTTTGGCCAAGGTTAAGTATGTCAAAGGAGGCTGACTTGTTCTTTCATGTGCAGAAAGTGCGCGCGTGATGTTTGCTTCTGGACATTTAGTTTGCGGTCTGTGTTCATGACAGTCCAGTGAAGAAAGTTAATTCATGTCCTCAGTCTGGTGCATCTTCTGCTGATTAACATCTTGATAAAACTCATAACTTATGTTGAGGTTAGTGTTCAAGTGTGAACTGTGTGCCCTCCTCCCCTGCCAGGTGTCCCGTGGTGCTCCTCGCATGTCAAAACGAGGAAGAAGAGGAAGCCTTACTCCAAGCTCCAGCTGGCTGAACTTGAGAATGAATTTCTGATGCATGAATTCATCACGCGACAGAAACGCAAAGAACTGTCGGACAGACTGGAGCTGAGCGACCAGCAGGTGAAAATCTGGTTTCAGAACCGCAGGATGAAGAAGAAGCGACTGATGGTGCGCGAGCAGGCTTTTTCCGTGTACTGATTGGACTTGGTCCTGACCAGCATTATAGGTCCACCTTGTCTCCAAATGTCTTCACCAGACATGAACTGCTTCTTGACCAGCACAAAACATCTGGATTATCCAGAGAGGCCCTTCGGACTGACAGAACTCAGTATCTGAGAAGCCTCCCCCTGCAGGCTCGGGCTCACGTGCACTCCTGTCTGTTTATGCAAATATGGGTTTTAATTCAAACTTGATATGAAACACAGTTAAGATATAAAATTGATCATTCTTTTGAATGTTTCTGGTTTGCTCGTTCATAATAGCTCATTTTTTTAACTCAGAGGTGAGGCCACTTTGATCAGGAACCTGGATAAATGCAGGTTTGTGTCTTGCGCACTGCTCATGCGCAGTTGTCTCGGATGTCTGAATTGTCGATTTTATTCAAAGTGCTTGATACAAGTCGGTGTTGTGCGATCAATTGTGCTTGCATGCTACTTTTCATCTTTCTTACATAGTTTAAAACCCTTTTAAAGCGCCAATTTGCAATGTTTGTGTTTTATCCTGGTGGACCTGGATGTGCGCCTCTTTTGATTTGACGCTTTAAAAACAGTGAGGTTCATTCGCTGTTGCTTTAAACTACATTTATGTTTTGTTGTTGTTGTTGTTGTCGTCGTTGTAAACTGCCAACCTTGTGTGTTGCCACAAAAACATATACATATACATATATATATATATATATATATATATATATATATATATATATATATAAAATCTAAATAGTTGCATCGAAATAACACTTGATTACTATGTTTAAAATATAAATGTTAAATTATAATTATTTCTTTTTTTTTTTCCAACTGAAAATAGAAGCATGTATTGTTAGGAAGTAAAAAGGGTAAAATTATTCACCAACCAAAAAAAAAAAAAAAAAAACGTTTGGTGAAGTGGTCGCAATAAATACAAAAACTATTTGTAAATAAAGAACTTTTTTTAAGATTTGGAGTCTAGTTTTTTGTGTATATTTGCTTTTTTTTTTTTTTTTTTTTAAAGAAAAATATCATTATCAGTTATCCTGCACTGGAGCACCGGCTGATTATATTTAAGTGATAAAAGTTTGAGGAATAAAATAAAAACAAATTTGCAATTGTTTTGCCAGTTTAGTGCCATGGAGTGTTCTACTCATACACCTGTTTTGAGGTAAAGTATTATTATGCATTATACATATGGGTGTAATGTTTTTTATGCAGACATTTTGAAAACAATCCGCTCACCTTCATATGAAACGTCCCTGTCCTTGAGTTTTTTCATGCGTAAATCCCTCCTCGCTGTGCGTAACGCAGCAGCTGCTATCACCCACAGTTGGAAGTTCTTGTGGTTTTAACCCAATTTATGTGCTATAATTCAAAACTAAGTTATTTCCTGAGTATCTCCGAGATGCTGCGCGTGTGTGTTTGTGTGCGCGCCTTATGAAAGCCAACGGGCTCCATTGTGCGCATTGGGCAGAATATAACCGTCTGATTGAGCCAAACTGCTGTTTTAAAAGTTTGAATTTAAACCTGAATGTGACAGTTTGAACAAGGCAAACTTGAGATGCAACTGTCTGGTGGGAGGAGAGGAAGAAAATAAAAAGCAGAAAGGAGGAGAAACAGGAAATTAGATTTGGTTGGTTTCCTCTATCGTTAAATTTGCAGATCTTCTAAAGAAAGAAACACTGTCAGAGTCAAAAACGTTTCAAAACATTGAGTTTCAAACAAAACCGGAGTGAAAATTCCTGCGTTTATGGACAGTTTTTTCTTTTTGCATCATTTACTTTTAGTGATTTTTGTATGTCTCGTCTTATACGTAGTGCAATCTTATTTTTGTCTTTTTATTATCGACCTTGAGTTTTAAACACAATCTGAGGACATTTTTTCCACCAGCTTTAGCTCCAAATGCAGATTTGTGAGCACGTTCGTCTGTGAAGTTCGTTTCCTCCCAGCCTGCGTCACATGGCTTTTCAACGTGTGCCAAAACAAAGTTAAGGTCAAGTTAGCATGCAGGCTGCAGCTTTTGGTTCAAGACAACGATTCTCTCAAATTGAAGAACTACTCGAATGATAAACTAATATTATACCTTTTATTTCGTGCCCTTAAAAGCCTGTATAAAATGTTACAATAAGAAAATACTATTAATTTAATAAAGAACTTCACTTGCCATATATTTGACGCAAAGGCTGGGAATGAATGGTTTAATTTTTGAAGACATTAATAGAATAAACTGGCAGAGTTCAGGTATTGTAAACCCATTATTTCTTCAAACTGACTGGATCATAACTGTTTTTTGCACATTTAAAGAGTAGATTTAAACTTAATTCATTTGAAATGGTGAATTATGTTGGTGCAAAACGGAACCAAAATGGCGAAAGCAATAATTTTATTATTAAAATTAGAAAATTATGTCAACATTTAAATGTCCCCGCACTGAAAATCGGTTAAAGCCAATAAGCACCACAAACTAAAGTTAAATGTTGCACAGAGAGACTGATTATAGAATTTATTTAGGCTCTAACATTAAATTCCAGTAAATTTCCATGCGTAAAACTTCATCCTAATGCGCAAAAATCTTCTTTCTATTGATTAAAAGTAGAAATCCCCAGTTTTTGTCCCATTTTCTTGTTTTTAAATACAGAGACACAACTTGTTTTTCAGAGTGGTTTGCATGAAAGATTTGCATTGTGCAGTAAAAACGGGGTTTTAAAAGTTATTTTTCTTCCAGCTAAAAATAGTTTGAACACATGTGATGCTGGAAAACAACAGCCATATTTTATTTAAATAATCTGTGTTTTGCAAAACAAAATATAATCTATTAGGGGGGGGGGGGGGAGGCATGAAAAATCATACTCACATACCCCAACAAAATATAGCTCCACGCTGGAGCGATGAATTGTGCGTTCGTGTGTGTTTCAACTTTAATTTTTCCCACCGAGGAGGCAAACACTGCGTGCATGGCTGCCCTCGTGCAATAAAACGTCATGGCCGCGCCGAGACTTGTTGGACATCAAAACAACGCGGTCAAAGCCAGTTGTTGGCCCCTCAGCCAATTTAACGGAATTTAAAACTAAATATTTTTAGATAAACATCTACATTTTTGCTGCTCTATGCCTTCAGTTAAGTCACTGAGCATGTTGTGCAATTGTTTTTGCGCAACATGAGGTGCGCATCTTTTGTTTTGTTTTGTTGCTAGCTGCTGTTTTTGCAGATCTGCAGCACATGATTATCAGAATGAATCTAAACAATGGCTTTTATTTGTGTGCATGTTTTAACTGTGCCTCCAAACATCACGCTGCTTGGTGATTATGCGCAATGATGCTTGTAATTTCTTTGCGGGAGCCTCTTGGATAAATCACACATGATTCCGTCCTTTCTGTGCAGGCGCGGTGACCTTGACAGTTCTTTTTTTTTTTCTCCCCTCAATCTTTTGCATTAATCGTGCAGATCTGCTGATAATTCTAACTGTTGATACAAATAATGTCTCCTCCATATTTCCTGACGCAGTGAGTGCAGTGGGTGTGTCTGTCGGAATCATTAAAGTGATGTTGCTGTAAAGTAAATATTCCAGCCATAGTTAAAAAAAAAAAAAAAAACTCTTTCCCTCCACCATCAGCTTTAAGGCAAAAAGAGGGGGTGGGTGATGGAAAGGAGTTTCCTCTGCAGCCTGAGAGCCAATAGAGTTTCTTGTTTGAGCTCACATGAGTTCTTTTCTTGGTAGTTTTTAATGACTAATATTGATGTATGGTAATTTCTCAGCTGGATCACATGACACAATTACCTCAAGAATCGATCAAGATGTGTTGCAGGTCTGCCTGCGTTTCCGATTTTTTCTCCCTGCCGGGCTCTTCCCACGCGCCCGCGCTACATGGACAAAGTTTAACACAGTCCGCCTGCCAGCTCGGTTCTTTCCCTGCTGCACAGAGGGAAAGGCACGAGGAGATATGACGGAATACGATGATCGAGGCTGCGCGTCAAATATGTTTTTGCCGAGCTGCACTTATTACGTTTCGACGCCCGATTTCCCGTCAGTCTCCTCCTTTTTACCGCAGACCACCTCGTGTCAGATCAATTTCCCTTATTCCCCCAGCATAGCCCAACCTGTTCGAGAAGTCGCTTTCAGGGATTATGGACTGGACCATCCCAAATGGCACTACAGGGGCAATTACGCGTCGTACTATTCAACCGAGGAGATAATGCACCGGGAGCTGATCCAGTCCTCCTCCAGCAGCAGCAGCGGCAGCAGCGGGGGCGGCAGCAGGGCGGATGTTAGGTTCAAAAACGAGTCCTTGTACGGTCACCCGGGAGGTCCGAGCGCGCAGTGCGGCTTCTTCGCCGGCGTCGGTCGGAACGGTGTGCTTCCGCAGGGCTTCGACCAGTTCTTTGACTCCCCGAACGGAGAGAAGCCCGTGTGCGCGGAGCCCCCCAAACAAAAGGCAGACCCTGCAGAGCCAGGGGATGCAGCCGACGTCAGCCAGGCTTTAACTAAACTGGAAGAAAAAACAAACCCAGCGCCGACTGGGAGCGTCGACGAGGACTCATCCTCATCCAACTGTGGCGACAGGAGCAACCGACAGAGTAAGTCAGCTTGTTTGTATTCCAAAATAAACAACAACAAAATAAGAGTTTATTTTGGGAGACCTTCTGGATGCAGAGTCCACCTCCGTGACCATCCAGGGTTATATGCTTCTTTATAAGCACGCAAAAGCTTTTATATCCCTATAAGATGGACTTTACGGTTGTAAAGGTATTTACAATGGGGAACAGTTAAGCAACCGTGCTTTAAAGGTTTCCTCTTGTTCCAAGCATCACTCCGCGGTGCTGGATTTCATTTGTATCCATGTGGCTTCAAATAAAGTAAGAAATCATAATAAAATGTGCTGCAGCTTCATTTTACCAGCAGCTTCAGAGCATGACATCACTGTTCATTTTTATGCAAATAACCCTTGTTGTATTCATTCTGTCTGTGTGTGAGTGTGTGTGTGTGTGTGTGTGTGTGTGTGTGTGTGTGTGTGTGAGGGGGAGGGGGTCAAAGTCACAGGGCCCACAAACAGGCTTCAGTCTTTTTAGCCATTTTCAGAACCATTATCAGTAAAACCCGACCTAAATATTTCCTATTATAAATCTAATAATCGTCTTTATATATTGGTTTTATTTGATTTTCTTCTTCAGGTTCATCAACCAAGTCCAGGAAGAAGAGGTGTCCTTACTCCAAGTACCAAATCCGAGAACTTGAACGCGAGTTTTTCTTCAACGTGTACATTAACAAAGAGAAGCGGCTGCATCTGTCCAGGATGTTGAACCTGACGGACCGCCAGGTGAAGATCTGGTTCCAGAACAGGAGGATGAAGGAGAAAAAACTCAACCGCGACCGCCTCCAGTATTTCACAGGGAATCCTTTATTCTGATGTCTGACAGTCAACTTTTTGTTTCCACCTCATGTAACCCCCCCCCCCCCCAAATCAAACAAAAAAAAATCTTTACGAGTGATAAAAAAAAAACTGATTCTACAACATTAGAATAAAAAAAAAACGGATGTTCTCCAAAATCCGCCATATTTTTTCATAATTTCTTGCATTTATTTAAACGTATTCAAACATTTTTTTCTGCTATTTCAGCTTATGATATTATTATATATAAAATGTACTCCTTGTGTGTGTGTCCAAAAACGCATGTACTGTATGTTGTAGTGTGGAATAATAGACAAAACACATATTATAGCCAAGAAACGTTTAATTTAAAAAAAAAAAAAAAACACTAAAAGAAAAAAAAAACACTGATCAATGGAGAGATTTCACCCGCTTTTGGCGCTTGCTGTTTCCTTCTCTTTGAAAAACGGGATTGTTTGCTAAACCTTGAACCGTCTAGACAGCACAATAAAAGTAGCTGTAAATGTCTAAATAGGGGGCTATTGGACTATGGTTGTCCCAGCCCCCCAGATCACGAGGACTGGTCTTCCTTCCTGTCTTAAAGTACTTTAACTTAAGGCAAAATGCGTTCCTTTGACGCATCGAAACACTTTGACGCATTCCGTTAATATTCAGTTCGTGGCACCTTCTGTCATCATTTAATAAGAAAACAATGGAGTATATTTTCAACCATTTGGAGGAAAGTAAATTTTAAAGTAAATGTCTATTTACTGTCTTAAAAATGTTTATGTTTGGGATGTTTTAGTTCTTACAGATTGAGTTTGTTGTGTTGGTTCTTTGAACGCATCACAGTCAGGCGCGGCCATGCAAACCAGTGGCTTCACTTTGCAACATGTAATCCATTGATTTCAAAACGCCTTGATCCAAACATGGAGAGTGGGATAAGGTTCGTGCTCAAGTTGTGTTTTTAATTCTGTGCTGTTATTTCCCATAAAGGCCATAGAACTGTGAGAGTTTCATTAGCTGTTCAGCAGGGTTTGTCATATTATCCTGAGGTGAAACTGCAGCACCAGCTGTGAGGAGTCTTCCTCTCTGATTCTCTCAATATCCACATGAGGGCGGACTTTCAAATCCGGCTGAGTGTGGAGATTTAACATCCACTCTGCGTGGAAAAGCGTCAGTGGAGGACTAATCTGATCAGAGGTTGTTGAGATTATTTATTTCACCAGTCCCTTCAGATGACTCAGTTGAGTTTTCAGACTTTCTTCTTCATGTGACCTCCTAAAGAAACCACGCAGATGCAATTTATTCAGAATAAAGGACAGTAAAGAGGACAGATGTGACGTCACAACTATAAACAGCTTCAAGGAAAGAAGAGAGTATATTGGTTTTATTAAGACGGAATCCAATAAATTAAATTAATTATTTGGTTTATAAACTGAAAATAGATTTCAGTGTAATTATATAAGGTATGAAATTAATGTTGTTGTTTTGTTTTTTTTTGTATATTTTAAGTCAAGAAATAAATAATTACTTGTCTGGGTTTCTTATTTCAAGATAATTTTTGTGTTTTTATTTTATTTTTGTTTTTTTCTATGCGGCTTATATGTCCAAAATTACACACATGATGTTTAAACCGATAACATTTTATTTGGAAGTATGTGTGTATGACTATAAATAAAGAGAGAAGTAAAAGGTACAAAAACAGTTGCTGCAATTTCACAATTTTAAACTTTTGGTTTAAAAATAACCAAATGTGTGCTTCTGTGTATTCAATTTTAGTCAGCTTGTTGTTAAGGTATACTGTATTATTATTATTATTATTATTATTATTATTATGCTTTATTTTTTCTGGTTTTGTTTAAAAAAAATTGTTTATTTTGCATGTTTAATTGCTTTATCCCTTTATTTTAGCAGAATATCAATATTCTCATTAAAAAGTTTATTTTCACAATATCTTTAAAAAAATGATGTTATTATTGGAAATTTTCATTCATTAAATTATGATAATTAAAGGCTCTAATTTTGTATAAAATGTGCTTAGTTGTGTTTGTTATTTTAAAATATTCAGATTTAATTTGTTTTTAATAGTCTCTGCATCACAGAACACACACACACATACACACACTGTGCATTTAGTAAAAGCTCTAACACATTAGCACGAGCCTATTTTGCATATTTGTTATTAGCACTTGAACACGGTGCATTTGTATTAATGATGTTATTAATTCTAAAAACTTTTGTTCTCTAACTTTTGACTTGAGTTAGATATTTGTGCAGCACTTTTTGTGGTGAATTCTTCACGTTTATCTTCTTGCAGACTGAAACAATGAAGCTCCTCAAACTGAGCCACCGCCTCCAGCAGCTTATTCTAATCCCTGAGACAAAAAACAAGTTAAATACAGGATGCAAATAAAAAAAAGGGCAAAATTAGTGAATGAAATAGCTAAATATGTTTGGGATTTTACACAAATGAAACAAAAGCTGTTGCGTTCATTTCTTCCAAGGTCATTTCGTTGACTTCTTTAAGGAAACAGTTGCTTGTTGATGAAAATGGTGCTGCTCAATTAAAACCATTAAAAACACGAAACTTTGCATAATTGATGAATAAACGAGCATTTGCATTTACACTTCCTAACCTCCTTCTATAAAACGATTGAAATGAAGTCATAAATACAGTTCATGTCAAATTGACTGTTAGAATATTTAATATATCGAGAAAGATGAGTAAAAAATGAAAAATAAAGTCAAGTTAAGATTTGCAGGGCACATTGTTTCTGTTAAGAGTCGATGTCAATGCGTCATAGACTGCGGCACGCACTTATTTATCAGTGTTCCACACAAAGAAGCTCTGATAGTCCTCGTGCTGTTGCACATTTAAAGCATTTCACAGTGAGTCGATGGTGAATATGTGCACTCCAGGTGTGGATGTGGTGTTTTTAGTCAAATCTGAGGCGTTTGGTTTCGCAGAAAGGTCGCATCAAAGCCCCCTCTGCGCCTCCTGCAAAACCAATTTCAAGTCCGTGTCGTAGGTGTCGCTGTTGACCACGCGTGCGCCCGCAGTGAGCGCGCGTGCAGAGGCAGGAGGCTGCGTCTCAAGGCCATTTTCAAATCTCATTGGTGGGTTTGTCATGTGGTCGGGAGGCATCCCGACTTCCAGATTGTTTTTCCTCGATATGTCTGCTTGCAAAAGACATCTCTCGCCTCTTAAGAACTTCTCCCCCCCCTCCAAGGAGAAAAAATGTCCTTCCCCAGCAGCTCACCTGCAGCAAACCCGTTCTTGGTGGAGTCTTTACTCGGTGCGTGCAGAACGGACAGCTTCTACTCCAGCAGCAACATGTACATGCCGTCAGGAGCAGACATGGGGAGCTACGGAACCTGTGGGCTCCTGCCGTCTTTTGGTAAAACAAGGGGGGAGGTCAGCCACAACGCGGGCGTGAACGTCCACCCGTACATACCTCAGCTGGAGAACTGGTCCGATCCGGGTCGAGCCTGCAGGACAGACAGCCAGATGTCAAGCTGCACATTTTCACAGAGCATAAAGGAGGAGAGCAACTGCTGCATGTACTCCGAGAAGAGACACCAGAAGGTCAGCTCGCCTTATCCAGAGCCGTGTCCCGTGGACGGCCCCGAGATCCCGGTTCCGGGCTACTTCAGACTGAGCCAAACGTACCCGAACGGGAAGCACGCGGACGGCTACAGCCACGACGAGCGGCTGAGTCCGAACCCGACGCTCCTTCAGCTCAGCCGGGTCAAGCCACCTCCGCCCCCTCCCCCCCCCTCCCGGTGCCGACTTCTCGGAGCCGGAGAAAATCCAGGAGCCCGAACCCACGCGCACACCGAGCCCGGACCCGGAGCTCCACAGCTCGGAGGAGAAGAAAAGGAGGTGTTCGGCGGAGGCGCGTGCGCCCAGCCCGGAGCTGCTGCTGCTGCAGAAGGAAGGGAAAGGTGGGCTGGCTGCAGGCACGAGCTTTTATCTCTCAACGAGCTCCAGCATCATAAAAAGAATAAAACACAAAGTCGTAATGTTTAATGAGAGTCTTTCTCAGGTTGCAGTAATGGCCAACTCAATGGTTTTACCATGCACATCCCCACACGGTATTAGATGTTTGACTTTATTTTGAACTCATTATTATGAATCAGAATGCAAGTTGCAACCTTTTTTATTTTTTTTTATTTTGCATTTTATTTAAATTTTAATGTTTAAGCATTAATGTTTTGGCCATTTAAAGCTTATTTTTCATAAACAGATTTTTATTTTAACGAGCGGTTCTAGTTTGACTTTAATTATTATCTTGGTTTATTATGCCTCTGCGTTATTTTCATTCATGCATTTTGTGCTTAATTTCCCTGAGGCGAAATCCAAAGCATGATGTGAGATGATGTGCAGGAGAGGAAACAACCCTCTAATGTAATTTTTTATTATTATTTTCCTGCACAGACTGTAAGGAGGAAGCTTCACCCAACAACTGGCTCACAGCGAAGAGCGGCAGGAAGAAGCGCTGCCCTTACACCAAACACCAGACCTTGGAGTTGGAGAAGGAGTTCCTCTTCAACATGTACCTGACCCGGGAGCGCCGCCTAGAGATCAGCAGGAGCGTCAACCTGACGGACAGGCAGGTCAAGATCTGGTTCCAGAACCGCAGGATGAAACTCAAGAAACTGAACAGAGAAAACCGCATCCGAGAACTCACCTCAAACCTCACATTTTCCTGAGCTCGTGCGCTTTGCTGCCTTTTTTCTCCTCTTCTCCTCAAGCTTTCGTGGCATTGGACGTTTGTCTTAATGTTCCAAACACAAAAGAAGGGACTGTTTCATGTCGTGTGGCGTCGTGTATTTGTTGAATATTGTCACAGGGTAGCGCTTTTCATTTGGTCTTGCATTTGTCCAGGAGTTCTCCTTACTGTGTGGAAATCGAAAAAAAAAAAAAAAAAAAAGGAAGATAGAAAAAATGTGGAGAGAGCGCAGTTTTTGTGTTTGGTGCAACATTTGTTTTACATTTTGTGCAAGAAATTCTCCAGGACGGTTCTGTGGGCCTCTGAGTGGGAAACAATGTGAATTTGTTGCATGTTTGGTGCATGTATACTCTGCAATAAATAATGTACTGAGACACAGTCTTGTTTTATGTCGAACTGTGCTGCCCGACATATCTGCTGAACACTTAATAATGGCGGCTGAATGTATCTGTGTAACTTTGCAGAGACAAATTCAATATTAATATTTTTTTTTCTTTCACAGAGTAATAATTATAAATGTGACCTTAGAGTTAAAATATTATAATACATTCAAGGGTTTTTGTATTGACAGCAAGAAAATCAATTGCACAATGTTGTGAGCAATAACATTTTTTATTAATTTTAGCTGAAATATTCCATATTTTACTTTATTTTAGGGATTTAAAGAGAGTGAAATACTATTTAATTCATGTCCACAATTAAGATCTGCTTCCATATACTTTTATGAAAGCCTCCTGTTTTTTTTTTACTTTTTTTGACGTGGACAAAAATAATTTGATAACATGCGCGTCATGTGGTGGCGACATGTATTTGACAAAAGCCTGATCTTATTTCCTCCCTGCAGGAGAAACGACCTTTAATTGTGATATTTAATCATCAGAATATGTTTCCTTTGCTACTTTAGACAATGAAGAACACATGAATAAAATGTGTTCCCTTAAATAAAAAAAGAAGAAAATAACAAATAAAGGTCAAGAGAGGAAAGCCATGGGGAAGCAGATTTAGTTTAGACAAAATAAAATTGAAAAGATCAAAAACAAAACAAAAAGAGAAGTTGCTAACTAGACTTCTGTATTTGTGTGCCTCTCGGAAAAACTTTAAAAAGTGGTATAATATAAAAATCAGTGTAAAAATCCAAGTTAATTTAAAAAGGATGGAGCACGAACTCTCCTCTGCAGATGGTTTCTGTCTGATTCTGCAGCAGAGGGATGCAGAGGGGGGGGGGGGGGGGTAATCAGATAAAAATAGCTCTGCTTTGATGCTCGAGCCTGTTTATAACTTAACAAACGCTCCATAAAGACAGGAGAGCAGCAGGGTTATGTTCAAATACTAACTTATTGGAGCCAGGCAGCTCCTCCAACCACGATTTGATTGAAATAGTTTGCAGATCCGAAGAGGAAACGTTAATTTACATATTGTCAAACAAACAAACAAAAAAAAAGATAAACATAAAAAGAAGGAAAAAACAAACAAACGTTTCAACTGTTTTCTTTTTTCTAAATGACACATTTGAACTCTTTTTTTATTGACATGTGGAATCACCCAATAAAACATTTATTGATCCATCATTGCTCTCCTTTGAACGGAAACAATCATTTCACCGTCGTTCCCTCCCTAACTTATATAATTTACATATATTCATATATGTGCTTCATTTATTTATTTATTTTTTAGCAACGCACGCGCCGCGTTGCGACCGGAAACGGCGTCTGCTACTTTACAGGGTGTTATTACATCTCTTTTACGAGGACTTTGTAAGTCTATAAAGCATTTTACAGGCAGTCAGGGCATCAGGACGATTATTATCAAAGTGCTCTGCACGCATTAAGATACACAAAGTCCGTGAGTGGTCATGGAAGAGAACTATTCATATTTTCCTCCGTTTTTTTTCCAAAAAGGAAAGGGAAAAGATGGATTCCTTGTGAGGGATTGCTCCATCTTTGCAGTCAGGCTTAGCTTTTTATCATTTCCGAAATGAAAAGCTAAATTAAAGCTGATGAAAAAGGGAGAGCCCGGGCAGGATTGATTCACGACTTGTATTGGTAAATATGATCACGTGATCCATGTAAACCAATCCCTGTAGATGCAGGGCAGCAAGGGGGGAAAACTACTATGATTGTTCATAGAGGGGAAGCTTCTCCTACCCGTGCACCCCGTATTATGAAAAAATGTCTTCCAGTGGTACAATTAGAAACTGCTATGTGGACTCCGTAATGGGTCAGGACCCGGAGGACGTGTTCGGAGCTCGGTTTATTCCGGCTCCACATTCCATGGTCCCTCGGCCGCCTGGTGCCGGGGACAGCGCAGACTTCTCTTCGTGCAATTTCGCCCCAAAGTCCTTCTCATCGTCCTGGTCCGCGGTCCACCCTCAGGGGATCTATCATCCCTACGTCCACCACCACCACCAATCGCATCTGCCCGCCTCGGACGGCAGATATGTCGGCGCGCGCCCCTGGATGGACCCTATCTCGAACCACGTTCCGTTCGCCGGGTTCCACTCCACCACCAACACCAGCGGCACCCCAGCCAGGCCGTACGGGACAAAGCCGGAGGTCCCGCCTGATGTCAAAGCCGCAGAGTGCCACCCGCAGGAGGCAGAGGCTCCACCGCTGTCCGTGGACCGCGCGGGCTCCGAGTGCGCAGAAAAGGCGAGCGCCAAGGCGCACGGAGGAAGTGAGCTATCCAGCCAGCCCAAAGACGACAAACAACAACAACTTGACCCAAGTAAGTTAAAGAAATAGCCGGCCCTGATTTACAGCCCGGAGAACTGTATGCGCCGGGTGTGTAAAACTGAAGCTTTTACTAACCTATAAAAGTGTCTCGTACTATACCGGAGCTGCGGAAGGGGGGAGGGGGGGGGGGGGGGTACCCGCCCTGCAAAGGTTATTGCAGCGATTCGGTTTTTTTTTTTTTTTTAAACCACAACTAATTTTCATGCATATTACATTATTTCGACAAGAATCTCTTCACAACTGAATGAGATAGATCTTGTCAAAAATAAATAAATAAATAATCAAATTCAACTATTTTGTGCATATTATCACATTTACATGAACCATATTTTGGGTTCTGTTCCCCAATGTCACTAAATATTATAATAAATACTTATTTAATGAATCCCATCTTTTCATCTTGTCTTTTTTTCTTTTCTTCTGCTTTTCAGACAACCCGTCAGCAAACTGGATCCACGCGCGCTCCACGAGAAAGAAGCGCTGCCCTTACACTAAATATCAGACTTTAGAGCTGGAGAAGGAGTTCCTTTATAACATGTATCTGACCAGAGACCGGCGCTACGAGGTGGCCCGCATTCTCAGCTTAACGGAGAGACAAGTAAAGATCTGGTTCCAGAACAGGAGGATGAAGATGAAGAAGATGAACAGAGAGAGGAGCAGAAATGAGCCGATTTAAACTTCATTGCTGGGACCACTGCTCATATTTTTATGGTTGTTTCTATATATTTTTTACATCTACGTCAAGGAAATGAACGTTTATTTTTAATGTTATTTTTATTTGGAACCTTTGCTTTTAAATTTGATTTTATTTTCAGACGAACTTTACGCATGAGCGTCACGACCCGTGGCCACATGTGTATCACATATGAGGAATTTGTCTTAGTGAGATCCATGCAGGCAGCATCTGTCAGGAAAAGAACAGGAAGGAAAAGAACAACTTTAAACCGTATAAATAGATGTTTTAGGAATGAAACTGGGATGCTCGTGTGCATCACTTATAAACATGTTTTTTATAGTGCTAAAAACAATTGGAGTAAAACATTTTCTCTACAACTATGACTGCTGTTTATGTCGGGAAATGCTCCACCACTGGGTGTGTGTTCTCCATTTTTCACACAACAAACAAAGAGATTTTTTTCTTCTTTTTTTTTTGTTGGTTTATTCAGGCGTTTATTTTGCACCAAAGAAATTCCCTGATGCTCTATTTTTCAATTATTTTTGTCACAAAAATGTTTTTTTTTTCTTGCAAAGTTGCAGGTTTTATTTTTAATCAGCGAATTTAAAAAGTAGAGGTAATAAAATGTTTATGATTGGAAGAACGTCTTCCAATTTATTGCAATTACTTTAAAGCAGGAAGAAGCTTGGTCCAATAAAGCTATAGAAATGACCAGACGTCTGGCTTAAATTAGTTTATGGACCTGGCCAGTAATTACACTCCCCCCATCCCCCCTTCTTCTTATGGCGTTTGTGTCTGTTGCTGACAAACAGAAAGTATAGACACTTTTCCACAGGGTGTCTGCTCGATGAATTGTTTTAGAGGAAATCACCCCTCAGCTGGACTTCCAACTGATGGGAAACAACTTCACTTTGACTGATCATACAGTTTTCTAAGTTTGTTAGACTTTTAATTGAGCATATCATATTTTTGTCGTTTCCTGCTAACCTTAATAAACAGTTTGTAACGAGCTTTTTAAGGCCTTTCCCTCAGTTTGAGTTGTTTTGTTACAAAATTGTTTTGGAGAGATTTGAGCGCTAGGGGGCGACGTTGCTCTTTGAGTTGCAGCGACTGAACCAAACCCAAGATTAGGAGACCAACATAAAACCTTTTCCATCATGAATGTGTCTTATGATTTAAATGGCCAACATGTCTTTTAAAGGTTCGTTTTAAAAGTTGCAGAGTTTCAGCTCCTGGTCTGAGCTCCACATTTGGGAATCTCCTGTGCCGCACATTTTGCGCAGAGACATCCGATTGAAATCTTTAAGAAGGAAGAGTTATTATCATCTAAAATAGGAACAGCTGGAGACATGCTGTTGTGCTTATATTCCCATTAAATTATATAATCTCCTTAACTTCGTTCAGTTATTCTGGTTGCTTTCATTTATCATTGCGCAAACCAAACAAAGGGCTTTGTTTCTGCGCTGCGGCATCGTTAGAAATAAAAATGCGGAAGAAAACAATTATATATAAAAAAAATCCAACATATGTTTTCAACATTTATTTTAAAATGTTCCACATTTTATAGTCTCGTGATATTACTGATTCTCCACCAAAGTCCATGTCTTTATTTGAACCCTTGATTTGCGCGCAGAACTGCGAACACCGCGCACGCCTGGTGCGGTGCGCACATAAGAACAAGGCTGCTGCTTTGTTTCCGAGCGACACAAAACGCGTTCAAGCTCCTGAAAGTCATGAGGGTTTTAGTTCAAATGAAAACTCTGGCAGCAGCCGACGGGCGCAGTTCAAAGCACAATTCTGTTTTCAGGGTTGGAAGTCATGTTGAATTGATTATTTGGGCCTTAATCTGCTGTTTTAGTGCGCCGGGGTGCGCGAGGGACAAATTATCATTCTAGTGGAGATTAGAAAGTGTTTTTTTGAGGCATTTATTTTAGATTCTGACCACATGAATAACGTATAAGCTCACAATAAGATAATCTGAGTATGTATTTGTTACCTCGTGGACCCGGAACATGAAGTGCAGATTTGTTCAGAGACCACTGTTTCAGATTATAACAGCATAAGTCAAACCCTTCTAGTATTTTACAGACATTTCTGGTAAAGTCCCAAGTTCTCAAGTCACTGAGGGAAACGTCGTGTCATCAGGTGCTTTTTCACTCTCCCAGAAGGAGTGCGCTCATTAGCGCCAGTCTGATCCACACTTTTACAGGATGTTATTTCTGTCACTGTAGGCCATTCTGAGGGGAAAATAAGGTCAGGCACACTGAACTCGCTGAAAAGAATTGAGGTTTTCAGTGCAGATAAGTTTATTGAAAATAGAAAATGGACATCTGTTCGAACAAGGGGAAGCTAACACATTTGTTGGACACAGCGTTCAAGATCAAAGTTATTATTAGGACATTTCAGCTACACTTCAGCATGTTTTTAGTTACTTCAGCTGCTTTTCAGCAAGCTCATCAGCAATAAGCATTATTTTCAGGAAGTTCTTCAGCAATAAGCATTCTGCATTTTCGCATGAAATGCAATTTATTGTGTTTGCATCTTAACTAAAACGAACTTTTTATTAAAATTGACTAGAGGAGCAGCGTCCTTTGTCTTTTTGACACAAACAAACGAACAAACTGAGGCACTAAACAAAGACGCTATATTTGAAGTGTTGTCAAATTAATATTATGTTTACATATTTTAAGAAAATAAACAGCAACCTTGCTGATTGAGGTGCGTGCACAGCAGAGGGCCAGGATGGACAGGCAGCACGTGCTCTGTGACCCATTGGCCTAAATTAAATGTGGGTCTGCAGGAAAAAAACAGAACTGCGGATGGATACAGAGACACAACAGCGGAGGGATACGAATGGAGTCAGTTGTGAATGAAACATTATGGAGGTGTTGAGACTCCGGAGGGTCAGCTTTGAGAAAATTAAAGGTCAGAGTCTGTCACTAAAACTGATACAAACCACCATAATTATTGATTAAGTCAATAGTTTTTTTTTGTGTGTGTGTGTGTGAAACATTTAAATCAACGAGGAAAATTATTTTCTTCAATGTGCAGCCTGTATTTCTTTGATAATTTGTCACTTAAATAAACAATGTTTCCTCTTGCCTTATATTCGTATCAAATGGTCTTGCCTGTAAATCTTTACAGCGTGTGTTTCTGGGTCTTTTTTTAGTCTTTAATATCGCCTGGCAGGAAGGTCAAGATTTAACATGCGAGGACACAAAATAATCTTGTTAAAAACCAGGTTGATGACATCTGTCAAAACAACATCAGTTGAACTTTTACACACTCAGCCTTTTAATGCATGTAGGCTATAAAAACACCATCAGTGTGTAAACACCCAACACCATGTCACCAAATGATGGCGGGGGGAAATTACCCTCATTTTCACTATTTAACTGACATTTTAACCAAAGGCCTCTGATTTCTACAATGCACAAAAACCAAAATCCCTCCAATTCATGATGTCATATTTTCTTGATTGGGAACCTTGTTACACACACACTTCAAATGTTTCAGAAAACATTTCAGAAAACAAGAAGGTTATTCGTGCTAAATCACTTAGACACACACAAAAGTAACATTTAAGGACCCTTTTCTCCTTTTTTATGCTTCACCTAATCTGTTCTTCTTGTCTCAGACAGATTAAGTTGCAGGATTGTGATGAAGAAAAAGAAAAACTTTCACCAAAGTGAGGAATTATCAAATAGCCCTAAAGTGGTGGCCACATCTTTATTAGAGTTCAGTGGTGTTGGAGCTGCAGTCCCACCTCTTTTTGCTGCACCTAACAACACCCAAGACATTTTTTTTAAACTAAAAGCAATAAACATTGTTTATTTTAATGCTTTATCTTCTTGAACTCATTGTTTTTATTTAGCTCTATGAAAACTAACCAGATTCAGTCAGTTGCATTTTTTAAGGCTTTGTAAAAAAAGTTAAGAGAAATAAAAATAAAAAAATAGCCAGAACCAAATGTGGAAACATCAATTCCACCTTAAAAAAAGGAAATTAATGTTTTATTTAATATGCTGTAATTATTGAGTTTGTTCCAAAATGTCCACAAAATGTGTTGAAGCATGAAAAATTAGCTGGACAACATGTGGAGACATGTGAAACTTTGAAAAAGTCTCATAAGAATAATTGAAGCAGTGAGACTGGGAATGAAAATGTTAATTTAGAAGCAGTTTCTATAAATCTGAAGCAGAAATGTTGAATATAATCTAATGAAGAGGTTCCCAAAGTAAGGGCCCGGATCCCAAAATGAGACTATCTCTAGATATCAACTTATTTTTATGATTAAAAAAAAAAAGAAAAAAAATCACCAATATATTTGATTGGATTAAATTTAATTGGGTTTTTGGTAAATTTGCGTATTTAAATTGGCAATGCGGTGCCAAGCTTCTGTCACAATATTTTTGTGGGTCGGGATCTTAAAAATGTAAGAACCCATGATCTGCTGAGTTATATGAGATCTGCAGCGTCTCTGTCTCAATGATCTGAAACAGGATGGACGGTATTTTCGCGCAAAGCGAAGTTGATCTTTTTATTCCATCTGTGGAGTGGCCGTCTAATATCACGGCTGTACAATGAAGCATATCCCAACACAGGCACGTGAAAAGCCCGTGCACACACAGGAAGCCCAGAGCCATGGCCTGACAATAAATCGTGCAGAGCTGACTCTGGCTGCCACCCGATGAACGACAATGACGGAAATTCCTTTTTGCTGCTGGCACCAATGCGCACGAGGAGAGCTGCGGTTGCGTTATTTAGCCTTCAACTGTCGAAAGTGGAAAGAGTCTAAATGTTTCACTGTAATTTCACTCTGCGAATGAGTCTTTTGCTATTTTGGGGGGGGGGGGGGGGGACAGGTGGGCGCGAATTAAAGAAAGCGAGCAGGGAGAATAAAGAAGACGATGCGCAAATACGCACAAACAAGTCGACATCCTTTACTTCACTAAATGAGCGTTGGTGACAAGGAAATCACACTTTTCACAGAAAACAGAAATACTTTTCTTTCTCTTTTTTTTCCACGCAGGAGCTCTTTAAAATCTCACTCTAATTCTAGTGTC